AATTATTTGGAGAGGACAAGTTTGCAGAGCTATGGGGAGAGCGCGGAGGAGTGGGATTGATTTGGATAGCTCTTTTAAAAGAGCCGGCACAGACACGATGGGCCGAATGGCCTCCTTATGTGCTGTATAATTCTATGATTCTAAACTATTTTATCAATTCGGGAGAACTTAGCTGTCAGCAGTTCTGTACTGCCTGGTCTTAGAAAACAGATGCAATCTTTATCTTTCCTGGGGTCTGTGACTACTTACATCTTTCTCATCTGTTAACCTGGTTTGTTTCTCTAATCTTTTACTCTGCTGATATCTTTCTCTCTTGTTCCCATTCTCACTTACTGTTTTTGTTGCAGCCATCCTCATCCAAATCTGACTCTTGTCTTCTACAGTGTATATTAATCCCACATTTATGACTTGAAAAGATTTGATTATCTCATTACTTACAATGAATAACAAGAGCGGCAATATGGCTAGCTGGAACCAGAAAGGTTTTGTTAGTTTGGAGTTGAGGTAACAAATCATAACAGGGACTAAATCTTTGGAACATCCTCAATTTCCAAGACAAATAATCAAACTATATAATATATTTGGAATAATCCAAATTTGTGGAGAATCAAATAAGAACAATACTGGTTCATGTAAGCACCAATGAAATGACCCTCATGCCTAGATGATCACAAGCTCAATCTCTGTTCTGAATTATCTGATCTCAGATTGGAACTGGACTAGGCTTGATTGTGAAGCACCCCCGCCCCCCCCCCACTCACCCGCACCCCACCTTACCCCCACTCCGTCAAATGGCCTGGCAACACTCAGAGAAGGCTCACAAATGATGAATAGCCTCTTGGATGAGTTATAGGAGGACATCTGAGGTAAAAAGACTCAAGCAAGTCATTGTAATCAGGGGAGAAAAAGTAGTGGGGGAGCAGAGAAAAAGCTTCAATTACCCAGAAAGAACTCGTGAATTTTTACAAATTATCCTATACATTTTACCACGTGTTGGAACAGGCTGTATGTCAGCCTGGCTTGGTCAGTAATACTCTCGGCTCTGAGTCAGAAGGTTGTGAGTTCAAGCCCCACATCAGGACTTGGAACCTATATTGTCCATGCTGACATTCCAGTGAAGTGCTGGGGATTGCTGCAATGTTAACAACAACAACTTGGATTTATATAGCACCCTCCACGCCGGACGGCGTCTCAGAGCGTTTCACAGTAACGGATCCCGGGACCGAGCCAGGGGGAGGGGGGGAAAGGTGACCAAAGGTGTGGTCGAAAAGGTCTTCAGCAGAGACCTGAGAATAGGAAGGAAGGGAGCGAGGCGAAGGGAGTGAGGAAGGGAATTCCACAGCCTCGGGGCGTAGTGGCTGAAGGCACGGCTGCCGAGGGTGGAGTGGTGGACTCAGGGGACGAGGAGGAGGCCAGACCTGGAGGAACGAAAGCAACGGGTACTGTTTTGAGGAGAGGCGGTCAGAGAGGTAGGGGGGTGCAGAGGAGTGTAGGGACTTGAATACAAGGGTGAGGATCTTGAAATCGATCCTCTCTGGGATAGGCAGCCAGTCCAGTTTGGCAAGGACTGGGGTGATCGGGGAGCGGAGTTTCGTGCGGCTGAGAACGCGGGCGGCAGAGTTTTGAAATGATTTGGATTTTATGGATGGTAGTGGATAGGAGACCGGCAAGGAGGTACCATCCTTCGGATGAGACATTAAATTCAAGGTGCTATCCGCCTGTTTAGGTGGACATTTAAGATCCCATGGCATTTTTCGAAAAGGCAGTTTCTCCCAAGTTTTTAGCCAACAATCCCCCAAATAAAATTGGTCATTCACTCCAGTTTGTGGGTCATTGCTGTGGGCAAATTGACTTTGTATTCACCCACAAAATACAGATAGTCACACCAACTTACAGTATATCTGTGATGTGCTTTGAGATGCCGTCGTGATGTGGTAAGGTGTTATATCAAATGCAATGATTATTATTTATTATTAACATGTCTTTAGTCCCAGTTTTGCTTTTAAACATAACTGAAAAATAATTGGGATTTTTTCATTCAAAAAGACGATTTTTTTTTTGCAGGTTGAATTCCAGCAGTACCCCAAAACAACCTGGAATCCCAAAGCCTTGCCTCTTGCAACCCATTATGTAATACTCCCTTGAAATAGATAAACAGGAAGCCGCCTCCAGGGTAGTGTGCATTCCACTCCAATACGTGGGAATTTGCACGTATAGGAGGTGTGTGTGGCACTCTTATTTGTTAAGGACTCTTAAACATGGTGAGGAGTTTCCGCATAGGTCTGACCCCCACCTGGCTGACCAAAACAAACAGTGGCCATCCTTTGGCATGAACAGGAAACCAAGTTGTTCCAATAAAAAAAATATGGATCTTTTCAAATTGGTAGAGCACAATTCTGTAGCCCAAGAGATAATGAATTATCTAATGCAAATGCAGTTGCAATTCTGGAGCTGGTGGCGCTTACTGTTCAAATGCAGACCCCACCTTATTTACTACAGGAGCTAATCGGGTTATCTGTGGATCTAACTGAAGTAGGAAGGGTGAGGAGACCACAGCCCCACACACACATTGCTACAGAAAACAGATTACAGTACACCCTGCGACCCAGTCGTGCCCAACCCAGACAATACATCTTCCTTCCCAAGTGAATTAAACGCTTGCAAACAGGCAATGGAAAGAAAAACCATGTCAAATGATTTAACCAACACATATTTTTTTTTAATTCAAGACATCCTTATCCTGCAATGACAGGCACAACAGAGCACTCCGATGCGAAGTGTCATTTGCTTTTTTTTTAATATAATCAACAAAAAAAAGTTTCTTTCTTTTTTTTTAAAAAAAAGGTATTAAATATAAGCGATCGTCCCCAAATTTCCTCCTCCTCCTCCCCCCATGAGACTGGGGTCCCAGGGCCAGTGGGAGAGGAGAGGAGAGGAGAGGGGGGGTGGGGGGGGGGGGGTGTCACGACGTGTGTTGTAAACAGTTGGCGGAATTCCTGGGGAGATGTGGTCAGTGCTTGTGAAATGCACACTCCCTCCTACCGAGTGAGTGTGGGGTCAGTCCATCTGATGCACCAGAACAACTCCCCCCCCACAAAGCGTTTGTGGAAATAAAAGTCAAGTCACAAAATACGTTGCACACACACACACAAAAAAAATATATACACATCCCATCCGAGGTCAGACCGAGAAGCGACCTTCCCTTCCAGCACAAACAACAGGCATCAGGGCAGCGTGGCACCCACTCACTGCCTGCCCTGCCCTGCCCTGCCCTGCCCTGCCCGCCTGCTGCTGCTGCTGCTGCTGCTGCTCACTGCTGTAAACATGGTGTGGCTATGTAACTTATGTTAATACCCGTTCAGGGAAAAAAAAACACCTCGAAAATCTTCAGATCGAAGAAGTCAGCAGCCAAAAAGATCACACTGCTGACATTTGTTTGCATTGCTTCTGTTGGGGGAAATATCCCCCCTCACCCCCCCCCTCCCTCTCTCTCTCTAACCAGAGGACCGGTGCAAAAGGTTTTAATCAACGAAAACAAAACCTGCGACTGCTGGAAATCTGCATTAAATGCAGGTCAAGGCTGGGAACGACCACTCACTCACTCACTCACTCTCTCACTGTGACAGAGAAAGGTTATTTACAGCGCCGCCGTCCATCCCCGGCACTCAGCTGTGTGTGTGGTGGTCCTGGTTCAGGACCTGCCCCGAGTGATGTGCTCCATGTGAACGTTTTAAAAAGGAGGGACGGGGGGACACACACACAATTATTATATATATATATACACACACACGCATACATATATATATATATATAAAAAAACACAATAAAGTCACATTATTAATCAGTAGTCCCCGTGTGAAACAGTGGTGACGTGTCCGCGGCTCCTCTTCCGAAGTAAACAAGGATTTGCAGAGGTGAACCCGACCCTCTTCTCCATCACCTCCTCCCTCACCATCACCCCCCTCCCATCCCCTCCCTCACCATCACCCCCTCCCTCACCATCACCATCACCCCCTCCCCCCCTCCCTCACCATCACCCCCTCCCCATCACCCCCTCCCTCACCATCACCCCCCCACACCATCACCATCACCCCCACCATCACCCCCCTCCCATCACCATCACCCCCTCCATCACCCCCTCCACCCATCACCCCCCCCTCCCATCACCCCTCCCTCACCATCACCATCACCCCCTCCATCACCCCTCCCTCACCATCACCCCCTCCATCACCATCACCCCCTCCCTCACCATCACCCCCTCCCTCACCATCACCATCACCCCCTCCATCACCCCCTCCCTCACCATCACCCCCTCCATCACCATCACCCCCTCCCTCACCATCACCCCCTCCCTCACCATCACCCCCCCCTCCATCACCCCCTCCCTCACCATCACCCCCTCCTCACCATCACCCCCTCCTCACCATCACCCCCTCCCTCACCATCACCCCCTCCATCACCCCCTCCCTCACCATCACCCCCTCCATCACCATCACCCCCTCCCTCACCATCACCCCCTCCCTCACCATCACCATCACCCCTCCATCACCCCTCCCTCACCATCACCCCCCTCCCTCACCATCACCCCTCCCTCACCATCACCCCCTCCATCACCATCACCCCCTCCATCACCCCCCCCTCACCATCACCCCTCCCTCACCATCACCCCCTCCCTCACCATCACCACTCCCCTCACCATCACCCCCTCCCTCACCATCACCCCTCCCTCACCATCACCCCCTCCCTCACCATCACCCCTCCCTCACCATCACCATCACCCCCTCCATCACCATCACCCCCTCCCTCACCATCACCCCCCCTCACCATCACCCCCTCCCTCACCATCACCCCCTCCCTCACCATCACCCCCTCCCTCACCATCACCCCCTCCCTCACCCTCTCGCTGGTCTGTCTGTCTGTCTGTGGGTGAGTGGCAGTCAGTAAAGGACGGGCCCCCCCTCCCCTCCCCTCCCTCCCCCCCTCCCCTCCCCAGGGCTCTCCTACTGCAGCTCGTCGGCTAAGCCGTTCACATAGTCGGTCTCGGCGTGGAGCCGCCTGACCGCCTCCTTGATGAGGTTCCCGGACAGGATCAGTTCCTGCAGCATGTGGTGAGGGTCCGTGTGCTGCTCGGCGGCGGCTCGCTTCCTGCGGTCGGTGTAGAGGGAGCCCCGGGCTGTGAGGGCTCGGGCCGGGGCGGGGATGCGGTACGGGCTGCTGCGCTGTTGGCTGATACAGCAGATGCGGCGCTTGGCTGCGACTCGCGGCTCCTGGAGCTGTTGCTGCTGATGCTGATGTTGTTGCTGCTGCTGCTGTTGCTGGTAATGTTGCTGTTGCTGTTTGGCCGACACTCCTCCTCCTCCGCCGCCGCCGCCGCCGCTGGGTTTGCGTTGCAGCTGCAGCGTCTCCCCGATCTTCGCCACCAGCGCGTCGATCTCCTTGGATTCCACGGTGACGGCCTGTTCCAGGAGCAGGAAACTCTCCCTGCACCGCGGCATGGGGTCTGTGTGTGAGTGAGAGGGGAGGAAGCTGCTGCTGCTGCTGCTGCTGTGTTTGTACTGACTTGAAGCTCCCGGGGGTGAGGGGATCCCGGGCCCCGATTCTTTCTTCTCTTTTCTTTTTTAGTAAAAAATAAAAAAAAGTTGTAAACAAATGGCCACAGCCGGGGGCGAGGTGATCACTTCACAGGGAAGGAAAACATTGCCACGCCGCTTCCTCTTTCCTCCCTGCCTTCCCCTTCTCTCCCCGACACGACACAACACAACACCTCCGACCACAAAGTTGGTGCTAAGTTCCCCCCCCACCCAGAGCCGGTGGCCGGGCAGCCAAGAGCGGGGCTGTTGGCGAGGGCAGGGCAGTGGCTGGGGCAGGGCAGTGGCTGGGCAGGGCAGTGGCTGGGCAGTGCAGGGCAGTGGCTGGGCAGTGCAGGGCAGTGGCAGTGCAGGGCAGTGGCTGGGCAGGGCAGTGGCAGTGCAGGGCAGTGGCAGGGGCCGCCCGCGCTCCGCCCGCCCTCAGCACTGACTGAACGCTGAGCTGAGTGTAAACAAAGAGCTACGTCACCGCCCGACTACACTACACACACTCAGCACCCGGGGTGAGGGGCAGACCACCGGGGGGGGGGGGGGGGAGAGCCGCTGAACTGTTTCAACAAATGGTTTCTTTTGACCCGAACCGCGTTTGCAAACCGACTCTCTGAAAGAGCCGCCACTGATGTAACCGCTCGTGCAGCAGCCGCGGTGTGCAGCCATAACGGGTGTGTGTGTGGAACTGACTGACGCACTCACCACCCCTCCTGCTCACTCCCGTGGTGGACTCGTCGGCGGCAGTGGAATGAATGGCGCGTGACGTCAGTGGTTCCCAACAATGAGGCTGATTGTTAGAGCGCAGGCGCGGGGCGGGGGGCGGGGCGGGGGGCGGGGCTAAGATGCTGAGTGGCTGAGCGGGATGGTGTTTGTTTTTAAATCTGGCGTTGGGGATGTGTGGTGTGTGCACAGTAGCAACAACTGTTACTACTACTACTACTCCTACTATTACAACTACAACCAACAACAACAAAACAACTACAACAAACAAGCAACCACCATTTGCATTTTTTTTTAGGCCTCTCTCTTAGCGGTGTTTTTTTTGTATATTTATATGTATATATATATATATGTGCGTGTGTGTATGTATATATATAAAAGAAATCCCAAACTCTTTGCGAAAAAAAAACCAGAGGATAAAACTGGGTAGAAAATGAAGTGAATTTCTGAAGGAAAATTTCAGCTCCCTCCATGTCCTGGGCAATGTCCACCCCGGCCCCCCGCCCCCACGCACACCCCCCCACCACCACCAGCCCCCCACCCCCCCCCCCCCGTCCCCCGTCCCCGCCATGCAAATAAAATTGGTCATTCTAATTCCGGCGGGTTTGTCTACAAAATACACAATCACTGCACTTAATAGTAAAATCCTGTGAAGTGCTTTGCGACGTCTCAACGACATGATAATAATAATCCTTGCATTTAGTATAGCGCCTTATCACATCTTTGAGACATCTCAAAGCGCTTCACTGAATAATTATGGAGTCCTGTAGCTCAGTGATCAGCGCACTCGCCTTGCAAGCGAGAGACTTTGGTTCGATTCCCAGCAGGGCGAAACCTTGCACAAGTTTCCTTACTCCACACGCCTGATAATAATTCCTCAAGAAAAAAAACAATAAGAAATTGATCACTTCAATCCACGATCGTTTGTGGGACACTGCTGTGCGCAATTGGCTGCTGCGTTTCGCCCACAAATATACAGTTACAGTATACTCTGTGAAGCACTTTGAGATGTCTAGAAGACGTGAAAAGCGCTATAACAAATGCAAGAATTATTATTATGTTATTATAGTAGACTGTAAAGTGAATTAACTGCATATTTTGTGGGCAAAGCACAGCAGCCACAGCACCAGAGGACATGACCTGCGATTGAAGGGGGGTAAATTCAGAACGAATCTACGCAAACACTATTTCAGTGAGCGAATAGTGAACCTATGGAACAGGCTCCATGGGGAGACTGTTGAAGCAGGAAGTGTTGATTCTTTCAAACACAGATTAGATAGTTTTCTTTTAGCAGATTACATTATGGGATATAGTACATAGGTAGATTGGGACATATGTGCATGCAACCGCCAGGAAGATAGAAGGCAAACTAGATGGACCTTAGTTTTTTTCGTCTAGCATTTCTTGTGTTCTTATGTTCTTATTTGCACACAGCAGCGTCCGACAAACATTCATGGATTGAGTGACCAAATTATTATTATTTTTTGAAGGGTGTATTACCCCAGGCTAAAGCGATCCGCCAATCGACTAACAACCGGGTTCCTACTTACTGCTAGGTAAACAGAGGAGAAAGAAACTTGCCCAACATTTGCTCTGCCTGGGAATCAAACCCAGGTCCTCTCGCTTGCGAGGCGAGTGCTCCTGAAGATGTTCCTCTTTGACCATGTTTACAATTACTCTCTTTGTGGCTCGGTGTCAAGCTCCGCTACAGTTATGCCCTCCAAAACACTACCATACATGAAGGGTGCTATATAAATGCTAGTTGTTGTTGACGTACTATATGTACAAGTTGTGGCTAGTAAAATAAAGTGTTTATTGCGGTGGTGTGCCACATGTAAATTTATCTAGGCATTTTGCTCACAAGAAGCAAACATTAACTACATTTCATACTGTACAGCTCAATCTGTTGTAGTAAGTGGCTTTGATCACCATTAGATTAGTCATAAATAGAAAACAATGGTTGAAGATTTATTTTTCCTGTAATTGGCCCGTGTGGTTCAGGAAGTAACTCAACTCGAAACATCTAGGGCAGGCTATTACAAAAATAACAAGTAAATACAGGAATTTGTGGTTTCCTGTAGTAACTCCAAACGAATAACAAAATGCTGCCCACCCTATCTGCCTGCTAAATGGAAAGCGTTGTTTCAATTTTAATTATTTTAATCTTTTTTTAAAAAAATATTCACCCTCTATGTTCCCCTAATGCAATTGCTGCCCTCAGATGCTGAGAGGATAGATATAGGCAGTTAATCCCAAATCCGTTGAACTGCAGTACTGTTCTGTAAATGCCGGGTAGGAACCATGATATAGGGGCCTGGAATTACTTTTCCTTCCTATGGGTATTTAATCACCAAACTATTACTCTGCCATGATGGAGCAGTTCAGATTCAGAACTCAGTGTTAGCAAAGTGTGTGCCCAAAGCTACAACAACAACAAGTTACATTTATTTATTTCACATCAGAAGTTAAGCACTATCATGGCACAATATAATATTTAAAAAATTTGCAATGATATAGTGCCTTATCACATTGTTGAAATATCTCAAAGCGCTTTAAAGAATATACTGTAAACTGAATTGACTGTATATTTTGTTGGTGAAACGCAGCAGCCAATCGTGCACATCAGTGTCACACAAACAGTCATGGATTGAGTAACCAAATTATAATAATACATTGGTCACTGTTGGAGAAGAAAAATTGGCAATTTAAAAAAACAAAATAGATATTTATTGGAAGAGCACATGATTGGTTTTGGCTGTGTTGCTCCCAATGTTGATTTACATTGTAAAACCAATGTGTATGATGATGTCAACAAAAAGTCAGTTACATGACATATTTGGTTAGCAAACACTGTGCCCTCATTCACACTAAGAATTCTAAACAACCAGGTGAACTTCAAATCTTAAATGCGTGTATGGGTGGGGGTCGTGGGGGTCGGAGGTAAATGTCATCAGAGGCATGAAATTCCAGCTAGTGTTAACCTGTGTGGCCAGTTTGACTTAAAGTTTAAAGAACCTGTGCAAAAGAGTGGAAATTTCTTAAATTCTGTCTTAATTTGGAAACCGGTTGAAGAACCAAAGAAAGCCAGTTTCCAAATTAAAGCAGACTTTAAGATTGTTTTTTCACATTCCTGCATGATATTAAATATTAAGAAGTTCCTTACTAAGGCTAAGAGTAGGTGGAATTTGGGGTCTTAGGAGAGGCACATCTCAGAGGCAGGAAGCGAAAAAGGAGTGCAGTCAAAGGCTGACCTGAACTTAAACCCAGCCTGCATGACTGTTCAACTTTGGTGTCATTTTCTGTTAATGGCTGTTCATTACTCCCGGAGGATAATAATTAGAAATTATTTATGATCCAGTCTATATTTTACAGTTTGTCTTTGAACTTAGAATAGTCCACTTCAAGGTTCAAAGATAGAATATAAAAACTGAATAAGTCACATACAATTTTACAGCCTGTTTTACAATCTTCTGGTGGAAGGAAATTGTGTCAACATTTTTAAAAAATTCTTTGCTGTTACTTTTTTTTCCCAACCTCTAGCCAGAGTGCAATTGGTGACTGAGCGGCTAAAATGGCAATCAATGTATTTCTTAGGGGATCAGTTCTGCCAGGTAATAAATCTGCATAAGAACCTCTATCTGAAACTCTCAAGCTAAATCAATGAGGTACACAAGCTAAATCTGCTGTAATTAAGAATTAAAAATCAACATGAATACAGATCCAATTAATTGTTTGTGATATTTATTTGCATCTCAGTTGTAACTGTTGGTGTTTTTGACACAACACTTAACTAGTGAGATTGAAATAATAGGTGTTGGGGTAATGCAGTATTATTTCTGGTGATAAATATATCACAAACTACATTCCCCCCCCCCCCCCCCACTCCCCCATTGTTTTATATCAGTGGAGCAGCAATAAATCTAAATGATTTCTAAGTGTGCAAATACTTTCACATCAGCGTAACTTTGTCTTTATAGAGTTAATATATTTGTTGAGGGACTACTTTCTCCAACTGAACGTCAGCAAGACCGAGGCCCTCCTGATTGGCTCGCGCCAGTGCCTCCGCACCTCGGGCGCTGGCAGCATCAGCGTCCGCGGCTGCACACTCAACCTCATCAAACCAGTCAGGGTGTCTTGTTTGACCCTGAACTGTCCTTTCCCCCCACATCTGTGCCATGACCAGCACTGCCTGACATCACCTCCGCAACATTGCCAGACTCTGCCACCTCAGGCTGCCGAAACCCTTACCCACGCATTAGGCATATCAAGGCTTGATTATGGAAAATCCCTCCTCATTGGCCTTCCCAAATCTTCCCTTCACAAGCTGCAGATCATCCAAAACCCTGCAGCTCATGTACTCTCGCGCACCAGGCTCCGCGACCCCATCACTCCCACTCTCGCCCGACTCCACTGGCTCCCCATCCCCCAGAGAATCGAATTCAAGATTCTCGTCCTCACTTTCAAGGCCATCCATGGCTTTGTCCCCTCCTACTTCTCTAACCTGCTGACTCCCTACCAACCTGCCCGCTCCCTCCGTTCAGAGGCTCCGGAATGTTCATTGTCTCCCGCCCGACCCGCCCTACCATCAGTGGCCGGACTTTCAGCCTCTCTGCCCCCACACTCTGGAACTCCATCCCACAGTCCCTTCGTCTCGCTTCCTCCCTTGCCTCCTTCAAGGCCGGTCTCAAGACCCTCCTCTTCGATCGTGCCTTCGGTCGCCCTCCCAACTCTCTGCCTACCCTCACCCATACCCCACCCCCATGCTCAGGTCCTGACCCCTGACTGTCCAGCGCCTTGAGATGTCCTCCCAACATGAAAGGCGCTCTATAAATGTAATTTTGTTGTTGTTGTAAAGAACAAGAACAACAACAACAAAATTACATTTATATAGTGCCTTTCACGTCGGGAGGACGTCCCAAGGTGCTGGACAGATAGAGTTTCGGACCTGAGCTGGGGGACGGGATCAGGGATGGTGGAGTGGGGGAAGCAGGGTGATTGAAAGCATGGTCGAAGAGAAGGGTCTTGAGATGGGTATTGAAGGAGGCAAGGGAATTTTGCATCATTAACACCTCTTTAACTCACCATCCTCTGCCCTCTACCCCATTTTCTCCTTTGTCTTCCTTGCCCTGCATTCCCCCTCTCTGTTAGCCCTTAAAAGCCTCTCTCTCCCAACATGCCCCAGTTCTGACGAAGGGTCATGGACCTGAAACGTTGACTCATTTTCCTTTCTCCATAGATGCTGCCTGACCTGCTGAGTATTCCCAGTGACTTATGTTTTGTTTACAATTGGCTAAAGAAAAATCTGAGAACAGAGGGGATAAACAACACAGCTAAAGGTAATAATAACAACTGCTAGGTAAACAGAGGCATGTGGACTAAGGAAACTTGTCTCACGTTTCGCCTTGCCCGGGAATCAAATCCAGGTCCTATCGCTTGGGAGACAAATGCTCTCACCGCTACAGGACTCCAAAGAGAGAACCACAAAGATACAGCAAAAAAACAAAATCTAAAATGTAGCTCCCTTCAGTATGTAAGAATTAATATTTACAGAAACAAAAGTTATCTTAATGTTTGAGTAGGGATTAATATTAATATTAATATTTGTTTTTTACCAACCTTGCAACTGAGCTAAGACAGGAACCCTGTTGGAGATCTCAGTTTAAAGTGCAACTCCATCTTATATTTTAAATACAATACAAAATTATATTTGTATAGCGCCTTTCACGTGGGGAGGATGTCCCAAGACGCTGGACAGTCAGGGATTTGGACCCGAGCTGGGGGTCGGGATCGGGGAGGGTGGAGGCAGGGAGGGTAGGAGGGCGGCCGAAGGCTCGGTCAAAGAGGAGAGTTTTGAGATGCGTCTTGAAGGAGGCAAGGGAGGGAGCGAGGCAAAGGGAATGTGGGATGGAGTCCCAAAGCACTGGGGCAGAAAGGCGGAAGGCCCAATCCACGTCAATTGTACTGAACATAACTGTCACTCTCAACATTTCTTTGATGCCGACAGATTTGTCCACATCGAGACGTTATTGCACGTGAAGGATGGTTACCGCGTTTTTTTTATTACGATGAATTTTTATTTTCCGTGGGCAGATGCGCCGCGTGTAAGAACGTCTGCCACCAGTAACTTCCTCGTCACCGAGTCCATATGCTGCGGAAGATCTCACATCGAACAACAACAACACCAACAAAATGCCATTTATAAAGCGCCTTTCAGGTCGGGCGGGAGTCCCGAGGCGCCGGGAACGTGGTGACGGATCATTATCTGCCACGAAAGTGATGGCGCTCGCACCGACCATCAGGACCGCGACGTACAGTGACAACACTTGCACCGAAATGCAACGAAGCACTGCGCTGCCCCATCCAAAGTGTCATCGTCCTTCCACGCGTTTCAGTGGATGGTCAGTGCACTGTGTGTGTGCAAAAAAAATGGTGGGTGGGGGGGGGGGGGGGGGTAACAGGACTTTGTGAACACTGCACACACAGAAAATAAGCAGAAGAAGGAGCAGTTGTCGTCGTTGCTCGGAACCCTGTGGTGAGGCCACAGTCGGACACTATTACACGCGGCACCGGCGTGGGGGGGATTTCCGGCTGTGGAGGAAGGTGACGGCTCGGGGGCTGTTAGTGATGTTAGTGTTGTGTTTTACTTTTATCTTTTTTATTTGTGCCGTGATGTCCTTTGGCGATCGCGCTGACTGCTGTCTGTCTGTCTGTGTGTCTGTCTGTCTGTCTGTCTGTGTGTGTGTGTGTGTCTGTCTCTGTGTGTGTGTGTCTGTCTGTGTCTGTGTGTGTGTCTGTCTGTGTCTGTGTGTGTGTGTCTGTGTGTGTGTCTGTGTGTGTGTGTGTCTGTGTGTCTCTGTGTCTGTCTGTGTGTCTGTGTGTGTCTGTGTGTGTGTCTGTCTGTCTGTCTGTCTGTCTGTGTGTCTCTGTGTGTGTGTGTGTGTCTGTGTGTCTGTCTGTGGTGTGTGTGTGTCTGTCTGTGGTGTGTGTGTCTGTCTGTGGTGTGTGTGTGTCTGTCTGTGGTGTGTGTGTCTGTCTGTGTGTGTGTGTGTCTGGTGTGTGTGTGTCTGTCTGTCTGTGTGTCTGTCTGTGTGTGTCTGTGTGTGTGTGTGTGTCTGTGTGTGTGTGTGTCTGTGTGGTGTCTGTGTGTGTGTCTGTCTGTGTGTGTGTTGTGTGTGTGTCTGTGTGTGTGGTGTGTGTGTCTGTGTGTGGTGTGTCTGTGTGTGTCTGTCTGTGTGTGTGTGTGTTGTCTGTGTGTGTCTGTGTCTGTGTGTGTGTGTCTGTTGTGTGTGTCTGTGTGTGTGGTGTCTGTCTGTGTGTGTGTGTGTGTGTGTGTGTGTGTGGTGTCTGTCTGTGTGTGTGTGTCTGTGTTGTGGTGTGTCTGTGTGTGTGTGTTGTGTGTGTGTGTCTGTGTGTGTGTGTGTCTGTGTGTGTGTCTGTCTGTGTGTGTGTCTGTTGTGTGTGTGTGTGTGTGTGTGTGTCTGTGTGTGTGTGTCTGTGTGTGTGTGTGTGTCTGTGTGTGTGTGTCTGTGTGTGTGTGTGTCTGTGTGTGTGTGTGTCTGTGTGTGTGTCTGTGTGTGTCTGGTCTGTGTGTGTGTCTGTCTGTGTGTGTGTGTGTGTGTGTGTGTTCTGTGTGTGTGTGTGTGTGTCTGTGTGTGTGTGTGTCTGTGTGTGTGTCTGTGTGTGTGTGTCTGTGTGTGTCTGTGTGTGTGTGTGTGTGTGTGTGTCTGTCTGTTGTGTCTGTGTGTGTCTGTCTGTGTGTGTGTGTGTCTGTCTGTGTGTGTGTGGCTGTGTGTGTCTGTCTGTGTGTGTGTGTGTCTGTGTGTGTGTGTGTCTGTCTGTGTGTGTGTGTGTCTGTGTGTGTGTGTGTGTCTGTCTGTGTGTGTGTGTGTGTCTGTGTGTCTGTGTGTGTGTGTGTGTGTGTGTGGCACAGGGCTCGGCTGTGGGCTGTGGGGGTGAGGGACAGGGGCGGCCTGGGCTCCCGGTGTTGTCGTGCAATGGCTGGTGCTCTGGATATTCACTGGGTTTCCCTCATCCTCACCCTCACACACACCTCATACCCTCACACACACCCTCACACACACACACATCCTCACACACCTCATACCCTCACGCACACCTCACACACCTAATACCCACCCTCACACACACCCTCCCACACACCCACCCACACACACCCTCACACACACACACCCACACACGCCCTCACACACACCCACCCACACACACACCCACACACACACCCTCACACACACATCCTCACACACCTCATACACACCCTCACACACACCTCACCCACCCTCACCCACACCTCACACACACCCTCACACACACATCCTCACACACCTCATACCCACCCTCACACACACCCTCACACACCTCATACCTACCCTCACACACACCTCATACCCACCCTCACACACACCTCATACCCACCCTCACACACACCCTCACACACCTCATACCCACCCTCACACACACCTCATACCCACCCTCACACACACCTCATACCCACCCTCACACACCTCATAACCACCCTCACACACACCCTCACACACCCTCACACACCTCACCCACCCTCACACACCTCATAACCACCCTCACACACACCCTCACACACACACCCTCACACACCTCACCCACCCTCACACACACACACCTCACACATCCTCACACACACCTACACACCTCACCCACCCTCACACACCTCATACCCACCCTCACACAGCTCATCCACCCTCACAAACACCTCACCCACCCTCACACACCTCATACCCACCCTCACACACCTCACCCACCCTCACACACACCCTCACCCACCCTCACATATCTCACACACCTTCACACACACCTCTCACACACACCTCACACACACTTCACGCACCTCACACACCCTCACACACTTTCATGCTACTCACCCACCATCACACACATCTCACACACCTTCACATACACCTCACAAACACTTCAGCCACCCTCACACACACCTCACCCACCCTCACTCACCCTCACACACTTTCATGCTACTCACCCACCCTCACACACATCTCACACACCTTCACACACACCTCACCCACCCTCACACACCTCACCCACCCTCACACACACCTCCCACACCTCACCCACCCTCACACACATCACCCACTCTCACTCACCCTCATGCACACCTCACACACCTTCACGCTACTCACCTACCCTCACACACCCTCACACACACCTCACACACCTTCACTCTACTCACCCACCCTCACATACATCTCACCCACCTTCACAAGCACCTCACACTAACCTCATCCACCCTCACACAAACCTCACCCACCCCTCACACACGCCTCACCCACCCTTGCACACACCTCACCCACTCTTCCCTCCCATACACCTCACCCACCCTCACCCACACCTCACCCACCCTCACACACACTTCACCCACACCTCACACACACTAAACCCACTGTCACACACACTAAACCCACCCACGCACACACCTCACCCATCCTCACACTCACCTCACCCACTCTCACACGCACCAGCTGCTAAACCCTTGGTAAGCATTTTGCAGAATTAAGTAGGTAAAATCCAATCAAGAGTCTAAAACTGGCTGGACCTGAACAGCTTACTGCGAGCCTCCTACTTTATTTACTCTCACATCTCTTGGCTTTGCAGTTTATTATTACACTTAAGTTAAATCCAGGATGCAAAGAGTTGTGCATGTGCTCCAACTGGAAATGAGGGTTAAGATTCACCGTTGGAAGGATTATTGGAGATAAAATACTTTCTGCACCAGATTAAGACTGCTTTTTTAAAAAAAAGACCATGGTAAACATTGAATAGCTGTTTCCTTGAGCTCTGGGAGAAATTTGCATATTCAGGGTATAAATCAATCCACAAAATGTTGAGAATCTCAATGCTGAAATGTAAAACGATATGTAATAACAATAATAATCCTCGCATTTCATATAGCGCCTTATTACATAATTGAAACGTCTCAAAGCACATCACAAAATATATTGTAATGTGAATTGACTATCTTGTGGGTGAAATGCAGCAGCCAATTGCACACAGCAATGTCCAAACAGTCATGGATTCAGTGACCAAATGATTATTTTTTTGAAGGGATTATGTAAAGTGTATTCATCAATATTTATACAGTGCACACAGCTCTGCACTTGAGGGCATCAGTTTAATTGAAAAATGTAATTTGTTAAATATAAACTTCAGTGATGCTTTTGCACTAAAATGTGTTGTTGAAGGCTGTTTTTAATTTGAATTGATTGAGATTATTTGCTGATTTGAAATACTGTCATGTAAAGCAGACTTTCTTAGGTACAAGTTATTATTTTATAATAATATTAAATATTTGATACAGCGCCTTTAAAGAGGATATCTCAAAGTGCTTCACAGGATTTACTGCAGAGGAAGTGACTATTAAATTCTTGGATACAAATTTTAAGTGTAGGCAGCTGCAGGGCTTCCTCAAATTTTTAAGTAAGGGTGAATTTACAGAAGTGAACAATAGGATTTTTAAAAAAATCAGCATTTCCCCACCTCTCCAACCTGTTCATACCTCCTCTTTGACCCACACTTTCGCCTGGCTGTCTCAGGCCTTTTGCTTGTTCCCCGACCTATGCTCTACCATGGGCGGAACATTTTGTTTGCAAAATATCTGCTGCACTTTTTACTGTCATTACTGCAAAGTACTTTGAGATTTTCCTATATTAGATTAATAAAAATGGAAGAACTTCCTTTCTTGGCGATCAAGATTTGGAAACTGGCATGTTTTCCTTTCTGTCGTTCAGCAATGCTGAGGCGAAATATAGTTGCCCTATTTGTGCTCTGGCCTAGATCAACAAATTCAGCATGAATTAGGCATCAAACCTGAAATGCCCTGTGCCTGTATGATTCCACTTCATTATAGATAATGACGTTACCAACTGAGAATTTGGGAGAGCTCGCATTCCATCATTTTCAAAGCACTAATTTTGTTTGTCATATTTTTGTACGGTGCTTGAATAATGCTGTATATCTGTAACATTACAGCTAAGTGATGGAAATAATCATGACCTGTTTGATCCAGGATCTATGAACATCTCTGTTATTTCCAAGAAAAGAATACAACTGCAGATGATACTCTACATCTCAGACTACACATGTAATATAAATAGAGCTGACTCCGTAAGGAGCTGTGAAATAAAAACTTGCTCCATGAGTGAGTAAAGCTACCAGCGAGTTACCCTGTTTGTATCCAGCCATTGCATGATGCTGACGCTGAATCCTGAAATTAGAGAAGTGTTCTATTTCATGCTGCTTTGTACTTCACTTTAACGCGCACAAGAAAATTACCACTTTGCTCTTAGAAAATGTGCATACTGATTACTCTGAAAATATTGTTGCTTTGAATTTTCTTGGTGGATATTGTGAGTTAGAAATGCCCTCGCAAGAAACTTCTGAAATCCAGTCTGGTCAGTGTAAATTTGAGGTAGGAGGTTATTAAAGGAACTGCCCACTTCATGACATGGCCCCTCGAGAACCTGTCTTTTCCAGAGGGACCATCTTCTCCTGTGGTTTGGACTATTATAAATATGGTTGGTGTTCCATCCAATTTCAAAACTGGATTAGTATTTATCTTCAT